TGACTGAAAAATTGTACTGAACACTGGAATTTGACACAACACTGTAAAATGATTATGAATCAATAAAAATGTAAAAAAAAAAAAAGAATTTCTACAAATCAATAACAAAAAGACCAACAATGCATTTTTAATTGAGCAAATACATTTTGGACAGGTACATAACAAGACAGTTCACAAATGAACAATAAGCATATGATAATGAGCTCAACATCACTACTTATTAGGACAATGCAAATCTAAATCAAAATGAAATAACATTTTGCACTGATTAGGATGGCTTAAAAAAAAAGACTGACAACACCAAATGTTGATAAAGATAATGAAGCAATTAGAACTCTCATACACTGCAAATCAGAGTATAAAGTGGAAAAGAGTTTGACAGTTTCTTACAAAATTAAACATACAACTACCCAACAATCAGCATTCTACTCCTAAGTATTAACCCTGGAGAAATGTAGGCATGTCCACAAAAGACTTGTGTAAGAATGTTTATAATGGCATGATCCATAGTGGCTAATAAATGAAAATGACCCAAATGTTCATCAAGAGGAGACTGGAAAAATAAACTGTGATATATTCATACATTGTTATACCACACTGCAACAAAGGGGAATAACTAGTGGCACATGCAATGGATGTAGATGAATCCAAAAAATCCATCTTAAATGAAAAAACCAGCAACAAACAAATACACAATATGTGATTCTATTTCCGTGAAGCTCAAGAACAGGCAAAACCTAAATTCGCAGTAGAAATTATGACAGTGGTTGTCTAAGGAGCACTGGAAGGAGGGCGGGGGACTTTTTGGGGTAATGGGAATGTTCTACTTCTTATTCTGGGTGGTTGTTACACAGATGAATACATTTTTCAAAACTCATTGAATTGTACCATTAAGATTACTCATGTCACCGTATATAAAATTTACTTCAGGAATGACTGAATAAATGGTAACACCACGAGGAAATAACCACACAAATCCAGAAGGTGGGATTCTGTGGGACAACTGGTCAGGTCTCTTCAAAAATCACTGTCATTAAGTAAAAGATAAAGGAATTGTGCTAGATTAGGGAAGATTCAAGGATGTAACAACCAGATGCAATATATGGTGTTGGACAGGATGCAGCTTTGGGCAAACCATCCATTAAAGACATTCTGGGGACACTCAGGGGAAACTGGAATATAATCTTGGTTTTAGATGACATAAAAATGTTTTTATACAAAGTTGGAGATTGTTGATGGAAAAGAAAATAAGTTACAAAGCAGTATGTACTTTCAGATCTCTTTTTGGTATTATAAAAAGGCAAATGTATATTATACATATGATACATGTTATATTATATGTGTAATATACAATTTATAACCACACATGTAAATTATACATGTATAGAAAGAGATCCAAAAGGAGATACACACTTATCTATTAATACAAGTAAGTCAGGGAGGGAGATAGGATGTTTACATTTTCTTATTTTTCTGTGATTTCTGACTTTCCACCATGCACAAGCACTGCGTCCACAATGTTGCTTGAAAATATTAGACTCTAAAATTCACTGTTTTATCAGACAAGTTAAAAGATGGATGGGTAGGGAAGGGAGAAAGAAACCTCAGATTGATCTACTAAGTGACTCTTCTGTTGGGCATTTTCCATGCATATCTCATTTCATTCTCACAAGAAACCTGTAATGTGTCATCCCTGTTTTTATGGAACTAATGATAAGTTAGCATTTTCACAAATATAATCTGACCTCAAGACTCATGTTCTTTCCACCTCTTTCGTAAGTTTTATTATTAAACATTGATGAAGAATTTACTATGAACCAGGTATTCTGTTAAATGCTTTACAAGGGTCATCTCATTCCTACCTCGTAACAGTCCATGTAAGGATGATACTATTAGTATGCTTATTTTAAAGATAGGAAAACAGAGACACAGAAATCAAATAAGTCTCCCAATTTCCAAACAGCTAAGAAGTAGCACAACCAAGAATTAAGTTCAGGCCACCTGATTCGTCACAATCCTACCCCGGACACCATACCACATCTCTAAATTCTCACGCTTTCAACAAGTTCCCAAGGGAGTAGAGGAGAATGAGTGACAGCTACCAGCACAGGGGACATTGACATCAGAGGTCTACCATGAAGTTTTCATGGTGACATCCTTGCTTACCTGTCGAGGGCTGTGCTGGTGGGCATACTCCTCCCAAACCCGCGGACCCCCATCTGACGGAAATATGGAATGCAAGAGAGGTTGGCGGCAATAATGGCCAGGGAGTCGGAAGGGCTCACGAAGAAGCCATTTTGGCCTAGGATCATATAACGGTCCTGTGGGAGAGAATGTGTGAAAATGTCCAGACAAAAGCACCTGCTGCTAGCAGCCCGTTCCCATCATCTTCACAAGCCACATAACTGCCATCCCATATTTAAGTGATGTAAAACAACTCAAATGAGGCCAAAGAGGGCCTGGGAAACCAAAATCCCTGAATACTGTAGGGCCCAGAATCTTGACACAACTGGGAATGTATCCCACCTATCGACATGTGAGAATGACTACTTCATGCTTCAGTAGCCTTTATATTCTTAACTCACACTTTCCCCCCAAATATAAAGGAGAACACAGATTACTGCTGAAGTGGCTGGTTCTTTAACATGGTGATTTCAACAAAATCAGCCATGAGTAAAGATTTATTCCATGAGTTTTTTTTAAAAAAAGAAATAACCTCTTTATAACAGCATGCTTACTTGGAACTAAGAAGGGTAATGGCTATTTAATAGCAATACTTAGCCACTAAACAGAAAGGCAGATGCAGAGCCAGTTAGGATTCATACGCCCCACGGACGTCAGCCCCAGAGGTATTCATTAATTCTCTGGGTTCCAATGCTTGGGTCATTATCTGGTAAAAGGATCAGTGGGCAGAAAACTTTCCTACTTACCCCATCAGCATCAAATGCGGCTCCAAAGCCGTATTCCCCTCCTTTCATAGCTTCCAGAAGGGTCGTTGCATATGTCAGGTTGGGGTCAGGATGCTGCCCTCCAAAATCTTCCAGGGGAACACAGTTGATTGCAGAATTGGCTGGGGCCCCCAGCTCATCACACAGAACTTTTCTCACATAGGGTCCCATAACTTGAAAAAAAAAAAGATACAGAGTAACGTGGAATCTTTGCAGAACCCCTCAAGAGTGTTTTGTTCTGCTTAGAACAAGTAAGGTTATGTAATAGCACAAGAAAAAATAAATAAATTCCACAAGTTTTTTCAAGACACCACAAAGAATAATAGTTACTTCAATGACTCCTCATTGAGTACCTACTACGAACCAGTGACTGTGTTAGGCATATAGAAGTTGTCTTCAATAACCTAGTTAGATGAAATTTTTCTCTAAAAATTTTCTAAAATGTTGCCAGGAAGAAATTGACTACCTAATAATGATTCATTGTCTGTTACTTTTTATGTATTAAAAGCTTTACGTAAATATATGCAAAAGCACTTAAAGGCTCTTGTGCTCTAGCAATGTTCTTTGCCTCTGCAATCGCTTTAACACTGCCAAGTGTATAATTAAACTCTGTAAACCACTGAAGCGTATAAAACTAAGCACATTTTACAAAAAAAATGCTAAGGGGTTGTGTTTTCCAATTCAACAGACTTTCATGGAGTGCCTAACACGGAATGCCTGTGTGAAGAACGGAGGTCTTCAAGGGGCACAAACACCCAATTCCTACATGCCTGGACTCAGTCTTGTAGTGGGATGAGTCAGATCTACAGGTGAGTGGTTGCAATGGTAAGACTAGTTCTATTCAATGTATATTTATGAAATAATTAGATCCAATAGCTTAAAAGAAGAAATGACCACAAGTGGGGCTTCAAGAAGGAGGCAGCATATCTGGGAGGACTTGGAAGAACATACATTTGACAGGGGTGGGGAGTGAGGATGCCATCCAAATGGAAAGAACATTATGAGCAAGGGAACAGCGCCTGAGGTAGAACATGCAGTACATTTGGGGACCAGCATGTAATCCTGTTGGCTGAAATATACGAAAGTACTGCTTTCCATTTATTTTCCACTAATGCAACAAGAGCCTCAGACAGTGAACATCTTTTGATTTTGCCTGCCCAGCACCCCTTCCACTAGTAGCAGCATTTTGGGTTTCCTTTGGAGAACCAAGCCTTTTCCCACCTCAGTTCATCTGATCTGGGTGTGGCTCAATCCCACTTCCCCCAAGGTGACCTAGGTCTGTCCGTCAGTATCCTCCATCCCTTAACCAGAGCGACTGATGCAGAAATGAACATACAGTGCAAGCTAGGCAATGAGGCTCAAATCCAGAAACATTGCCTGAACTATTTGGAAAGAAAAGCCATCTTCCCTCTAGGCCAGATAATGTTAAGGCAAGAAACTGAAAGATCCTTTTCTGGAGAATATAGCCATCCCAACAGGAAAGAACAACACAGCACAGCCAGAAGACCTCAGAGTACAGCCGGTGGAAGATAAGTTCCACACTTGGGCTCAGAGCTCCCAACAAAAATTTTAGTGCCTCACTCTTAAACATGCCAGAGACCCAAGGACCACCAAACTTTTGAGGCATGCATTAAAAATGAGACCAAAGCAAACAGAGTAAAGAGTGACTTGAAGGAAACAGAAACTACATAGGCAGAAGAAATATTTTGAATTATGTATCTGTCATACCCCAAAAGAGACCAACAAGATATGGTAGAATAGCTAAAACTGGAAAGACTGACAATACTGAGTGTTGGTGAGGACATGAAGAAACGGGAGTCTCCATACTCTGCTGGTAGTGCAAATGGTGTAGCCACTTTGGAAAATAGTTTGGCAGTTTCTTATTAAGTTAAACATATACATCATCATATGACCCAGCAGACCCACACCTAGGTATTTGTCCAAAACAAAGGAAATCATATATTCCCATAAAGACTTGTTCACAAATGTTTATAGCAGCTTTGTTTTGTGGTAGCCAAAACCTAGAAATAACCCTAATTATATCAACTGGTGAATGGATAAACAGAAATAGTGCATCCATATGATGGAATACTACTCAGTAGGAACAAGAAATAACTACTGACACGTACACCACCATGAATGCATCTCTAAAACATTACGCTGAGTGAAAGAAGCCTGAAGAAAAAGGCTACATATCATATTTGTCTATTTATATGGCTTTCTGGAAAAGGCAAAAAGCGGATGAGTGATTCCTAGGGACTAGGGGAAGGAGGAGAAGTACGGCTACAAAGGGCCACAGAAGAACTTGTTGAAGTGAGAGAAATGTTCTGTATCTTGATTGTCATAGTGGTTGCATGTTTGTCATATGTTTGTCAACCCTCATCAAACAAGGTACCAATTTTACTGCATATAAATTATATGCAGTATATTCATTGGTATATTCATTATATATTCATTATATATATAATGTATATATATTCAGTATATATATATATAATATATATAATGTATATATATTCAGTATATTCATTATATATTCATTGGTAAACCTGATTTATTTAAAAAAAAGATACGGCACTTATGAAATATGAATAGGAAACTGTTTTTTAAAACAGGTTATTTGGAAAATTTAAAAAATGGTTTTGGGAAATGAAAAATATGAGAGTGGAACTGAAAAACTAAATGGAAGGACTTAGAGATAAAATTGAGAAAATCTACCAGAAAGAAGCACAAAACAAAAAGAAGGAAAATGGGTGGTGAGTGAAAGAATAGTATAATTAAAGGTCCAGCCCAGTGGGATCAATATCTGAACAACAGCCATTCTGGAAAGAAAGGAGAGGAAGTAATGGAGGAAATTATCCAAGAAGCAATTCAAGAAAATTTCCCAGAATTAAAGGACACAAGTTTGTAGACTGCCAAGTGCCCAGCACAACAGAGGAAAACAGTCCCACACAAAGGCCCATCACGGTGAATGGAAGGAACACTGAAGATACATCAAAGGCCCTGAAGCCTCCAGAGAAGGAAAAAAGAAAGATTTCATAACATGAAGTCAGAACAGCATCAGATTGCTCAAGTTCAATAGGAGCAGCTACAAGACAATGGAGCAATGCCCTCAAACTTCTGAAGGAAAATAATATCCAACCTAGATTTCTATCTCCAGACAGGTATCAATTCAGAGTGAACATAGGAAAAAGGCATTTTCAGATGTGCAGTGACTCAAAACATTTACCTCCCATGAGCCTTCTCTCTCAGAGTTCCTGGAGAATGTGTTCCTCCAAAATGTGGGAATAAATCAAGCAAGTGGAAGACAAAGGATCCAGAAAGAGGAGAGTCAATATCAGAAAGGAGGAAAGGGAATTGCAGGATGATGACAAATGGAGATTCCAAGACCACAGCAGCTCAGAGAGCAACCAGTGCAGAGCAGAGGAGATCCCAGGTCTCCAGGAAAACAAAAGGAGAGGAGATTTAGACACTGGAAGAATATAAGGGTTAATAGTGGCAAATATACTTAACAAAAACTAAACAGTGAGAAAACAAGGCAACTAATTCCAAAGAAGTAAAAAAAAAGAAAAAAGTTGTACTGTAAGGAAAATATAACTACAGTTTTTTGCATGGCTCAGCAGTGTTACGATAATGCAGATACTAGATACTGATCTTACCAAAATGATGATATAATTAGCTTCAGAAAGTATGCTTGGATTTAGTGAGTGGAAAGTGTGAAAAAGAGCTACAACCTCATCTTCTATAGTACAGTCATCAACACTCCAAACTGAAAAGTCAACAAGGAGTATATTCATGGTATTTAAAATAGGGAGATAAATACCTAAAAAAAAAAAATCACTGGAAGAGTTGTTTGTTTTTTAATGGTTGCCTTTGGAAAGTAGGAAATTAGGGGAAGGAGTTGGGAATGGGTTTTTTTCATAATAAACTTTATACTATTGGACTTTTTAAACTATGTACATGTACTGTGATCAAAAAAAATTTAATTACTACAGTTCTGCTATCTCAACTCCACACTCAAACAGGCATAGCCTCAAAATCATTTGTTCAAGCTTTGTTTTCACTTGTATCTAAAGAGAGAAATCAGAGCCCTGAAGTTTTCCAGAGCATCCCAAATACCTGAAGATACATAGGTTGTGTGAATATCTACAAATCCAACCTTCCTCATAATTCCAGAAACCCCACAAGCATAAAGGTCTCTTTATCATTTCTTGCCCACCAGTTGGTAGAGGACCCCATGCTTACCTCCGTGCATTGCATCAACCCGGATCTTCAGTTGGCTGGGCCCAGTCAGCAAACTCTTGATGGCGTTAAAGTCAAAGATGGTCCGAAGGAGGTTGAGATAGATATCCACTGGGTCCACTATCTCCACTAAGGATAGGAAAGCAAACAGAGACACCAGTGACTACCAATGAAGGGTTCTTGGAAGCATAAAAAAGCATGAAATTATGATCACAATTCCAACATAACCCCACACATTTATGTGAGAAGCAAAGTGTCCATTTGCAAACAAGATCACAAATTAAAGCACAATCAGGATGCTACAAACTTTTCAGATAGTCAGTGTAAAAAAACTCTCAAGTTATAAATGCTTCTTTGCAAGTGAAAAAATCAACCACCAGAATAAAGTAGTTAAGATAAAACTACACTACACCTATTGTCCCTACTCCCACCTTCTTTTCATCACCTCCCTCCCTAAAACTGAAAGCACCTCAGTGCTCAGAGGCATCCTGGCACAACGGGTTGCCTCTCCTGCGGGGATGGCCAAAGAGTGACTCAGCTGGCACGAAACAAATCAAGAAGTGACCCCCTACTTTCCAAATGCCATTGTGCCAAACAGATCCAGGTTCTGAACTGGTGATGAATGATATTTTTCTGAGTTTGTGTGCCATCTCCAGGGTGCCCAACCTAGTACCAGTTTCAGGATGTCAGATATGTAGAAATCCTCATTAAACACGAATGTTCTCCAGTGCCCTGCACTATCCAATGACCAGGAATCCAAAACAAGTCTTTCCCATTTATTTCACAGATTCATAAAACCCAGAATATATCTCATTTTCAAACTTAGCAATCAGTACGTAATTAATACTCAGAAAATACTTCCCCTAGAAGTAATAAATATCTTATTATAAGTACTAAAATTTGTCCACGAGCCGTACATTTTATATCTGTAGATAAAATTTGAAACTTACGTATGTTGTTTTTCAAATTTTTCAAATACATATGACTTTGGAGTCATGAGATATTTAAACTTACACTAAAGATATTAACAACCCATCTTTAATAATTTTTAGTACATCTAGGTGCAATATTTAATGAATGAGATTTTAATATGTAATATGAAACTCTCTCTTCTTCTGGTTAAATACAAATCTAAAAATATTTTTCCTTGCATTTAAATGCAGTATGTGTGTCCATTCAAATATAATGTAATTACTTTTTAAGGAACGTAGATAGTTTTTAATCATCTTTTGACATGAGAAGAATATTAATCTATAAAATAAATTCACTAAAAATTCATCTATATGAACAATATATCTAAAAATGGTTAACATGGTAAACTTTATGTTGCATATATTTTACCACCATAAAGAAACTAATCTATAAAATAAAAGGTTATGGCCTGAACATGTTTGAAGTTTTACTCATTCTAAAATATAGGATAATATTTTTGGCATTTCATTCTGGTTCTTTAATTCCTGAACCACTTGCCTAACTACATGTGGTATTTATAGCAGATAACACATAGTACCGAACAGAAATGTAAAAAACAAGAAAGCAAGCAGAATTCCATGAAAACTGAAAGTTCACATCACACAGTTCATGCTCTTCATCTTTTAAGGTGAAATGCCAAAGACAGATTTGTTTCTGATTAACTCAAGCCTTGCTCAACATTTAAAACAGCAAGAACACAGCACATAAATTATCCCAATTATCTCCAAATTCCTCCTGGGAGCCAGGGAATTTCTTTATCTACCTCCTTGTATCTGTAGCATTGTAGAAAACTCACCAAGCTAGCAATGTGGCTAAAGCAGTGGGACTGAATCTGAGCTAACCAAAGGGCTAGGTCTCTTGGACAACTAATAAAATTGTAAAGATGCCAAAAATTAGTGAATAAATAAGAAATAAGAAATAAATAAATACATAAATACATAAAATTTCTTCCTGACGGTAATGCTTCATTTTTCTCAGCTGTCTTATTTCCTAGTCCTTCCAAATATATGTGATCAAGAATACTTAAATCATTTGTTTGACATAAAATATCCTTTGCTTTTAGTTGTCAAGTGATTATGTGGACATACATTTGTCTTTGTGTGTACACTCCCAACTAGATTAATAAAAGCAGGAACCCTGCTTCCAGTAAGTATCACATGGTTTTCAATTAATTTCTGCTTACTAGCTAAGCAAGCAACTGACTCAAAATATTCCAAGAAAAATGTAGTAGAGTTGGCCCAACACTATGACTCTTGAACATTCCATTTCAAGCTCTTCTCCGTCCCTAAAATAAAACATGGCCGTGAGCCAGGCATTTCATCTTTTTAGCTAGATTAAATTACGTATAAAATAAGGATACCACCTTATTAACACAAACAGGATTTAAGCTTCTAGGGGAACTAAAGGAGTAAATAAATGTTAGTATTTATTGCCATTTGTATGTCTTCTAGGAAAAAGCAATAGTATAAAATAAAGGGTGAAAAAATTACATGCATATACATGGTATTATTGCTGTTATATAGTTCAATATTAATCTATAAATTGAAAGGTTATAATCTGAGGACTTAGAAATTTTATTCACTCTACAATATAGCATATTTTTGGCAACTTCATCCTGGTTTTTTTTTTAACTCTTGAACCATTTTCCTAAATCCATTTGGTACTTAATGAATTCCTTTCTAAAATCTCCTAATGTGGAGTGTGTATAGAGCAGGTGATCAATGATTGTGCATTGAATCAAGATAAACGGCACGGTTCTGGCTTGGAAAAGAAACGCCCACTTTCCATGGGAAATTTTAATAACCTCACCACATTGTTGGTCTCTCCTCAGTTATCTAAAATATTTCGGCATCTTCACCATAATTGCTTAGAAAAGCAAGACACGTTTTGGCAATTCACCGCCTATTCTTGGAACACTGTCAAAGAGTCAGCCGTGAAATGTTCCCTATGTCAAAAATGATATAGAGTTTGGAAAGTGGTTTTTGAGAGTTGCCAGTTCTAAATATCTTGGCTGCTCTCGCTCCAGTCTGCACCACACGCAGATTGCATCTCGTTATCAAGGGCCACTCATGAGACTGATCATTCCATCGCTTCTGCGTGCGCTCTCCCCTGAAGAAACCAGAATCGCCCCCATGCATGGAGTTATTCTGACTTCTTCAAAACAGAATTTCTCTATTACCTCTGAACGGTTTGAATTTGTTCTCCAGGTCAAATTCTTGTCTTCCTAGTCGAGATAGATCAATTCGAAGATCAGGGCATATGGCGTATTCCTCGATTGTTTTGCTGATCTGGTAGATTTTGTCTGACACAACATCTGGCGCAGGACCTAAGATTTGAAAATAACGCACCACTAAAAATAAATCTGCTTAAAAAGTCCATCAGAGAAACGTTACCTCCTCCTCCTCCACCAAGCCGGAGAAAGATTCATTTGTTCTCTAGACAATGGTCAACACTTCACAGTTCAATTAGCCTCAATACTTTTTATTCATCTACTACAGAGGAAATGTGGTCAGCCTCACCTGTTCCATGTAGGCCAGTAACCTACAGCTTTGTTTGTTTTAATCCACTTCTAAGCAATGATACATCGTCCCTAAAAATAGTTTCACACCTGCCAGGGAGACCCGGTTATGTCATCAGCTTTATTCAGGATGTGAGACACAAACAGGATATGCATTTGACAGAAGCGAGGGATTCCAGATTTAAACTGCAGCTTCCCAAGTGCACCTAGAGAAAGAAACTGTGATTTCTACTCCCAGGTCTGCTGCCTAGTTGAGGTATAAGCTGACCAGGGTACATTATTTTCCCCAAGTCACACTCTCTAGAGACTCCCCCCAATAAAACTAAGTGAGGTTTAAGTGAAAATGCCTCATGCACTTCCTTACAAGGTCAAGCCAGCAATTAAGCTGTGATAGGCTTTAAATGAAGTGAATATGAAATCAATAGTTGTCCTCCTTCAGTTTTTCTTTTCTTTTTAATTTTTGTATCTTAATGCAAAGCATTTAAGTTTTTTTTTTTTGCAACAACTTTGGGAATCTAATAAATAAATAGATTGAAAGATCTAAAATAAAAATGATAGAGAGACGACTTAGGTAACTTTGTATACTGACCTCAATTACCAACTATAACTTTCTACTGAACAAAAATCATTTCTTGATTTCTTTTACATCCCAATCCCTTAGAGCTACGCCGTCCAGTTCTATAGCCACTAGCCACATGTGGCTGTACAGCACCTAAAATGTGACTAGTCAAACTGAGATGTGCTGTAATTATAAAACACACACCAAATTTTGAAAAGTTAATAGAAAAACAATAGATTGCATTCATATTTTTATAGTAACTTGCTGAAGTGATAATATTTTGGATATATTAAGTTACATAAACTATATAATTTATTTCACCTGCTTCTTTTTACATGGCTACTAGAAAATTTTAAATTACATACATTGCTCACAATGTATTTCTATTGGACAGCACTGCCTTAGAGCACAGCACTGTTACTGCCTCCCAATAAAGGTTCACTGACCATATGAGAAGGGAGAATGACCAAACTCGTCATATCACATACATTATATACATGTAGATTTGTGCTATAGCAATTGTACCTCAGTAAAGCTAGCTGGGAGGAAAGGAACAGCAAGAGCACCATTTCAGCAGGTGGGAAAGAATTTTACTCACGTTTTCTTATATAGGAAAAGTGAAGACCACAAAGAAGTAAATGTAGCCCTTCTCAACATTATTCACTACCATCTCTTATACTTTTGCAAAACTTACAAAGTAAATAGTCTTATTTAGCGTTTGCATTTTTTATGCTTGCCAGATGATACACAAATATCCTCCTGCCTCCCAGGCACCACACTATGTTCTTGGGCTGTTTCCATCACTTTTTTTTTTTAAGAGTTTCTGAGTTTGTATGCCAAAGCACACTGATTTCCAAAAGTAAAACAAAAAAAAAATTCTAACAGGACTGGATGCCACTCAACCAGCCATGCTGTAAGTTCACCAGCACCCTCTGTATTCCTTTACATCTCCCCAGTCCACATCTCCCATGCCAGTGACTTACCTCTTCATTTCAGTCAATGCCTGGTACAGTCATACTATATGTATTATTGTCTCTTGAAATCCTTCTTTCAAAAATATCAAATTTGAGTGTCTTCGACCCCTAAATTCCTAATCCTCCATCTACCCTACTCTGCACCCCTGCTGAACCTGTTCCTCATTCCTATACTGATGTCCATCATCACTTGATTAATCCCAGGCCATCGGTCCATTCTCATTTCACTGGTCTCTTAACCCAGGAAGGACCCTATTGTCTAGCATTTAAGTCTTGCGTTGGTTAACATAATGACACAAGGCAAAATTTACTGAAACTTACATATACCACATTTCACACCTTATATGGAATTTAACACTCACAAAAAGTAGAGGAAGTAAGAATTATTAGTATCATCATTTTCCAGATAGGGAAACTGAAACTGGAAGAGGTGACCTTAACCAAGGTCACATCAGCGGTAACTGACAGAGGCTGGGTTTGAATCCTAATAGTCTGATACCAGCTCAGACACCCTTAACAACTACCAGCCCTCCAGATGCTCTGCCACGCCCGCACTGCCATCCCCCAATCCCCAGAATTGCAGATTGTTTTCCTAAAATATTCAATAGTTGCTACAAGACTAAATGTTGGTCCTAGATGTGCTTTTTCGTAAAGCAGGATTTCTCTAATCACACCTTAAAAAACAAGGCTCTTTGTAAGGTGTTTTGTTTTTTTTTAACTTAACTTGAATAATATTCCTTCTCTGGATAATGTCCAAAATGGCTGCGAGGAGGGGGAGATAATGTACCTTCCCTTCAGGATGTGCTATTTTGCCTGGGGCCAGGAATAATTCATAATGGTAACTGCTGTTGGTTAAAATGCAGCTCCCACCCATGTATACACCAAGACTCAGTGTTCCAGTTTAAAAGAGATTTAAGAGACTTAACAACCAAATGCAATGTATGGTTCTGGAATGACTCTTGGTTTGAACAAAACAGATTTGGGAGATACTTGGAAATTTTTCAATATGCGTTTGGTTTTAGACGATATTAGAGAATTAGTGTGGTCATGTAGATATATAGGAGTATGTTTTTCTTTTAAAGAAATGCATTCAGAAATATTTAGGTGTGAAATATCTTTATGCTGTAATTCACCTTAAAATTCTTCAGGACGAAAAAGATAAGCAAAATGGAAAAACAAAATAATAGACACATGGTATATATTTATTATTCTTCCTACCTTTACATATGTTCAAAAATGTTTTTAATTTACCCCTAATATACATATGCTGCCCCACCAGGACCTCTAAACCGTAAAATTTCTACAAAAATATATGAAAAAGTGAAATAATTCCAAGCATGTCAGTGAGAGAAAGTCAACACTCTAGGAAAGAAAGAGTGCAGGACTTATGCTAAGAAGTCGTCCGTCTGGCCCTAAGCAGCCACGTGACCTTGAGCAAACAACCTCTCAGGGTGGCTGATTTGTTCCTGTGTAAAATGAAGAAAATGATCTAAATTACTCTGAGGGTATGTCCCAACTTTAAACTCGAGTCCTTCCGTGTCAGATCAGCATGAGCATTCACCCATTTCACTGTGCTGATGTGTGCAGGGGACCACAACGCCAAATGAGTCTGAGACCCCATTATGCCACTTTCTTGTCATGTCACCTTGGGCACCATGATGCTTAATTTTATATGTCAGCTTGCTTGGACCACAAAGAGCCCAGATGTTCGGTTCAACATTATTCTGGGTGTGTCTGTGAGGGTGTCTTTGGATGAGATTAACATTTGAGTCAGTAGACTGAGTGAAGCACAGGGCCTCCCCCAGGGTGAGGGGGCCACAACCAACCCACTGAAGGCCTGGACAGAACAAAAAGACAGAGAAAGGGAGAAGTCACTCTCCCTCCGGCTGTCTACCGCTGACACACTGGTCCCCTCCTGCCTTCAGACTTGGACTCAGACTGGCACTTATACCATCAGCTCGGCTGTTCTCAGGCCTCTGCACTCAGATCAGAGCTGTAACATCAGCTCTCCTGGGTCTCCAGCTTGCCAACCACAGATCTTGGAACTTCTCAACCTCCATAATCCCATGAGCCAATTCCTTATAATAAATATCTTTCCAGATCTTCCTCAACTTATGATGGAGTTATACCCAATACACCCATTGTAAGTTGAAAATACTGTAAGTCAAAAACGCATTTAATACACTTAGTATCATAGCTTAGCCCAGCTTACCTTAAGAGAGCTCATAACACCTGTATTAACCTACAGTTGTGCATAATCATCTAACAAGATGCCTATTTAATAGTAAAGTGTTGAATAACTCATGCAATTTATCAAATACTGTACTAAAATGGAAAACAGACTGGTCATATAGGTACCGAGTGATTGTTAAGTGTATCGGTTGTTCACCCTCGTGACTGGCTGGGAGCTGCACTCTCCGCCACTGCCCAGCACCACGAGAGAGAAACATACCACATGCCTCTAGCCTGGGAAAAGATCAAAATTTTAAATTTGAGCAAAGTATGATTTCTACTGAATGCATATTGCTTTCACAACATCGTAAATTCAAAAAAATCTCTGAATTGTACCATCATAAGTTGGGGACCATCAATACATTCTGTTGGTTCTGCTTCATTGGAGAACACTGACTAATACAGGCATCTTACTAGATTTTTCTGAACCATTTCCTCTCTGCCTTGCTTGTCTAGCATCAGAGGGTCACTGTAAGACTATCACAATATAAGAGAAAAGAGTTCATGATGATTAAGGCGTATTCTGAACCGCATACCTCCGTTGGCAACATTAAACTTCACTCCAAACTCTCCCCCAGGTCCTCCAGGGCAGTGGCTGGCTGTTAGGATGATTCCACCAGCAGCTTTGATCTTTCTGATAATGCAGGAAACAGCAGGTGTCGACAAGATGCCATTCTGTCCAATAATCAGTCGACCAATCTAGATTACCCAGGGGAAAAAAGAAATCAATTCAGTTACATGGGATTGAAGTGCATTTCATGAGAAAGTGTCCCAGGCTCTGTTATCAAGCACTAGAATCACTTGGCAAAAAGAACTGAGTGATCCCGCTCCTGGGCATATATCCAGAAGGAACCCTACTTCAAAAATACACTTGCACCCCAATGTTCATAGCAGCACTATTTACAATAGCCAAGACATGGAAACAGCCTAAATGTCCATCAACAGATGACTGGATAAAGAAGATGTGGTATTTTTATACAATGGAATACTATTCAGCCTTAAAAAATGACAACATAATGCCATTTGCAGCAACTTGGATGTCCCTGGAGAATGTCATTCTAAGTGAAATAAGCCAGAAAGAGAAAGAAAAATACCATATGTGATCACTCATATGTGGAATCTAAACAAAAATAAATAAATACAAAACAGAAACAGACTCATAGACATAGAATACAAACTTGTGGTTGCCAAGGGGAGGAGGGTGGGAAGGGACAGACTGGGAGTTCAAAATGTAGAATAGATAAACAAGATTATACTGTATAG